TAAAAAAAAAAAAAAAAAAAAAAAAAAAAATATTCTATCCCAGTTACACAAACGGTTATCGTGTCAGGTTAAGGACTGTTTAGCGACTGTAGCTGACCGAACCGGACCCACTTCTGCCCTATACGAATGGCAGGTCTCTTCCATTTTCCTCGGTGGCACCTTTTTTCCCGACTTGTCTCAGACTTGTTCCATACTCGTGGGTTCACCCGTAATGCGCTACTACGGGGAATCATGCATGGTTGAACTACGTAAGTGCGTACTAAAGTCCAGTCTTGCGTTCGCTCACGACCCTCGCTAATACGTAGACAAGGATGAGCGTTCGAAGTTACACGCGAGTAACGTACTTTCTCACGAGTCCACTTAGACGCCTGCCTTAAATCCGATGGCATTCCGTACTCACGAAATTGCTTTTTCAATAAACGCCTACAAGTCCGATTCGGATTCAAAGTCCGGACTATATACAAAGCAGTATCCCTGCGCCGTAGTCGAATGCTTCAAAAAGTAATTAAGACAGCGACAAAGTTCTGGTATAGTACTTTGCGATACAAGTGCGAGAAAGCGAACTTTATAGGCAGGCGGTGAAGTTGGTCGCACAAGCCGCACACGAGTGTGACAAATTCACGAACTGCGTATAATGTTCGCTTTATTGTACTAGTATCGCATAATATTTTGTGTAACGAATGCATGAAAAACGCTAATTTTTGTGCCTTCATAGTGACTGACACATCTCCTCATTGGAGGAGGCAGCCGTAAGAAGAGCAAGGAAGGCTTCCAAAGTGACTGCATTTCATGACAGCGCGCGAGAACAAAGTTTACTTTATCGCACTAGTGCGATAATGTAAAATTGGGCCGGTTTGCGCATGCGCAGCATTTTTATCGTATCCATAGATATAAAGCGCCACTTTCGGCAGACTTCGGAAGCACGAAAAGTAGCGTTTTTCATGCATGAGTTACATAAAATACGTTATAAACTTTCTACGCGCAGAAATACCTCCCCGCATTGCTTGCAGTCTTTATTAACGATCTAGATACACTCGGAAAAAGGTGGAGCTACGACTTCACGCCGATCGGGATTACGGTTGCTAGTGTACAGGGCTGTTGAAGAATTTTTCACGGAGTGAAGTTGGCTCGTATACGAGATTTTTACATCGGAGAGCAACTTCGGTTGGTAAAATAATTCTGAACGTATGAGGAACGTATTCGAGTTATTGTTATGATTTATAGCGTATTATGTATATTTATATAATAAAATTAATATAATAATCACTGCCAACGAGTATCTATACATTTCTGATTGTGTATGTATATATATATATATGCTATGGAGGATTTTCAAATATTCCTTTTATTCTGTGAATCCGGTCGAACGTTCTTCCTCTTCTTCCCTGCCATAGAAACGGCCATTGAATGGGGTCTAGTTTTTGCCGGGCAACTAGTTTCAACGTCGATTTTCTTCTTCTCCGTCCTCCATCCTTCCATCCTTATCTTTTCAATAGAAGACGCCGTGCGAGAATCGAAGCTACCTACACGCGATGAAAACGCGCCACTCGCGGATCGCCATTGGTTCTTACGAACCACAGAGACTAGCAAATGCCATCGTAGTTACTGCTGGTACGCCGGGTATAACCTAATAGCAATACAATGGAGGATATACCCACCTATGTTAAGGTACCTTGCCAACAGCCTCTTACAAGACGGTCGTAATTGTATATAATTTTTTTTTTTCCCTTTATAAACAATACGTGCCTCTCTCTCGTCCAACCGAATCTCATGATTATTATAACACGACCCAACGGGATAGCTACATCGAGTTACGAAAGTTTTTACGGGGCGAGAACGAAGTTGTGGAAGAAAAAAAAATTTATTCAGACAAACGAAATAAATCCTCTTGTTGAAAACTTTTGGGAAAACAAAATTTACCTCGGCATCTCGTCGCTCGACCGTAATCGTTTCGAGTCCAAGAGACTTCTTAGTCGCGTAAAAGTACCCTGGAGATTTGAACTCTGAGTTGGTTCTTTTTTTTTCCTTTCTTTTCTTAGCCCTCTAACCAGGGCTGCTTTTCCTTTTTTGTTTCATGCTTGAAATTACGTCGTTCGAGATCTCTAGTTTTTGTTTTTATACCCCTTTTTTTCTGTTATTTTTATTTACCTGCTACAAGACACTTTTACAAGACGATCGTAGAGTACTTGCTGAGATACGGCGTGTCGAATCGCACCTTCTCAACGGTATACGTATGACGGTCGTCTCGCATCTGTTGTTCAGTTCGTATGAGAGACTATCTCCTAGGTAACTGTATTTTGTGATTTTTATTTCAATAAGTCAATTAGATATGTGCAGGAACACTACTGTGACTGTATAGAGGCAATTTTCTGTACCGTTTATATCTAGTGTGTAATAGTCTTGTGATAGAATAGGAATTTAGTTGAAGCTATTGACTGAAAATTTGTTATGACTTTTATTATATAATTTACAGTAGTGCCTTTCTTGTGTGCGTTATGTACGGGTACGCCTTATATGGAGTAATTAACGAGACTTGGGATTAATTGGGTGTTAATTAGCCAACGTTACGCCAGGCGGAATAGAATAGAGGGCAAAATTTCTAGCAGCGTACCTAGTCTCACACGGTATACTCACTTGTACCACCCACGCATTCTGAAGACTATATACGTATATAGGGGTTGGTGGGATAATACGAGATCCTAAAGGAAACAAAACTTTTAGAATAATTTGGAATATTTAATCTGATTATCCTAACTTTGACTTTACGAGTAGCCCCCGTTCTGGGATAGGGATTTCGCCCATGTGTATATATTTATAAATGTACTCATGCTGAAGTTAATAAATATGAGATGATGAGAACAATACAAGATAACCTATAGGTAACTTCTCTTACCTGATTTCATCCATTTCAGGTAAACGCATAGGTTTCAGTCGTCTGGCAGAATTTCCAATAACACACGAGATCCATGATCACCCGGCACTTTGCACATTTGTGTAAAAAAAGATAATTTCAAAATTGTATGATTTCGTGTGGCTTTACGAGAGAAAAAAGTGTATCGTCTATACCAGTCAGGATATCGGATTCATGGTTTTTCTTGAATACCTTTTGAAAAATCCTTTTGACACTTTGCATATCGAACATTGGCAAGCGTTTTTTTCCTTTTTACGGCATTCCAAGACGTTTACGCGGCTGATCTGCTTTCCTCTTGGTTCCTGGGGGAACTTCAGGTGGTAAGAGAAGTGCCGATCACGATTATTTAACGTTCACGCAGATTCCACTGTTCCTTGGGTTATCCACGACGTTTCACACATGCCGAAGGTAATTTTGTATTTCGAAAAATCGACGAATCTTTATACGAAAAGACGCCCGGCCAAAGCAAAGCTGGCTCACGATCCGTAGACGCCGGTGGAACGAGAGAAGGTAGACTCGAGCTCGTTAAGTCTTGCCCCACCTGGTAGAGAGCTAGCAAGGTACGTCGAGAAAAATGTGAGGATCGGCGCCGGCTCTGCTATTGGCTGCTCACAGAGATACATCGCCTATCCCATATTCCTAGTCCTCGTCCTCGTCCTCGTCGTGGTGCACGAGAGTCACTTCTTGTATTACCAGTTATAAACTGAAGACATCTGGCAGTATTATTCGCCCGAGAACTCTTTGTTACCGACACTATTAATCCTGGCGGCGCAGTCGATAAATATGGGTCGACTCGATTTTACGTTTCGCAGTTGGCACTGTTTCTTTGGTGAAAATGAAAACAGAGGTATCCTGTGTATCACGACTAATAAGAATAATGGTACTTGACCGATCGCTATTCGATTTATAGACTTGACTGAGTCGCGTGTGCCTCTTTGGAATTTTTTCTTTTTTCGTTGGAATACCTAAGACGGAGAATTTTGTGTGTGGATTTCTGTACGCTGTGTATTTACTCACCGTGTAACGCGCTGGTAGTGGTACTTCCATGCTTCTGTAACAGAAAGGACAGGTGAGTCGTACTCGCCTTAAATCCAAGACAGGTGCAAGTCAGAGACAAGTATTGGGCTAAGTATTTTAAAGCCGTAAGATCGTATCCTGAGATACTTATGAGAATACCGTACAAGGACTTCCGTGAGGATTTGAAGGCGGAAAAAAAGAGAGATGAGGTATTGAAGTAAAACCGGTCGGAATCACGATTCATCGTTTACCAATCGTTCTCTTTCGTTGGTACAACTTAATATTATGTAGATGACATACATAATTTATGAAATGAATATGAAAAATAACAATCGTATTCTTCGTGTAAATATTCAAAATGTGCCCAGAACGTTATTTATCGGTTTTCAATGACTTTTCGATAATACCTTTGGATCGGCTCGAGATATTTGAAAAATTCAAAAAATATTTTGTTCAGTGTTCAAATTTACGACGTTACGAATAATCGTTAGGGATAAATATAATAATTAATTATAATACCGGATGCTCGTTGTTCGGCATTTGGTTCACGTTCTTCGTCTGCATCCTTTAATCTGTAACATGGCGAAAAGAAGAAGCTATTAGTGATTTTACACGGCAGAACGGAAACTCATCTGTATATGTATAATGGAGGTGCTGTCTACTCGACCGGAAACGCCTATCGGCGTTTCTCACTCTACCTGACGCCGATCATTAAGGAAGGACAGAGCGATGCTCGTTAAACTCTAAAGGGTGTCTTTCTCCCTTTCTCACTAGCGCATCCCTCCATCTCCCTTTCTCTCGATGGCGAGAACTTTCTAATACGAAATTTCGAAAATTGAACCAATTTCGTCAAGACAAAAAAATACGAACTAGTGGTTGGGCGTTTGTGCCAGACAAACTCGAAGAACTCGAGCTACATTCTCGTGATCTGCAGCCATTACAGAACCGGGTACATTTTCTCACGAGATGCCCTCGCTCTAATTATATGTCTAGCTGCTCCTCAAATCTACAGGTTTATATCGTTAAATACCAAGCACTCTTTTGAACATTAAAAACAGTAAAAGGCACGTATCTACCTTCTTGAAACCTGCTGACGTTTTTCATAGTCCAGATGCGGATAGCTTATCGGTCTTCATACATAAGATACCGGTAGCAGTCTTGCTTTCAATAAAATCAAGTGTCCTTGATTCCTAACCTATCAAATTGATAATTAACGTTCGCATAAATTCGAGAGAACAGCAGTCACGTTTATCGAGCAAAATGTAATAAAGTCCAGCTCAAAGCTTATCGGCATTAAACTTTCAGTTCTAAATAGCAAGGTTACTCCACGTTCAATAACCTGAATTGGGAAGCGTGTAGTATAATCCGACAGGATATCCTCCATCAGGCTCTACACGGACAGGGCCCGTTCTCTTTGTCGCTTATTTTTATCTTTTTAACGTTCCTCTTCGTTTTTGTTTTTAAAAAGATAAAGATCCCACAAGCATCCGCTCCCGAGTCTCCTTTTGCCTGGATAATTTCGATCCGGCTCCGGTTAGATTCTCATCGTGACAACGATACCTCAGGTGGCCATCTCCTACCGGAATAATAATCGCTCCCCGATCGTTCTCCAGGAAGGGAAAGGGTTATTAGTGAGGTCGGTGAAGGCAGGCGGTTCAAAAACCTCTTGAAGAAGTCTATACCGAATTTCAAGCCAGTAGATGAGACAAGGATGACTTGAATCCTGGGTGCGGTTAGGTTAGGTTAAAAGACAGGCGTCCCTTGGAGTTTCGAGTTTGGTGCTCTGTGCCTGGAATTGTAATTTGTAGTTAAAAAAAATATTCCTGGAAGAGATACGAGAAGCATTCGATCGTACTGCGTATATATATATATATATATAACCAAGAAGAGGTTTGTCCAAGTCCAAACACTATAAAATTGAGATACCCTCGTTATATCGTATCAATATACTTTTAGATGAAATAAATAAATTTTAGTACTCGATACAATATTGCAAATTTATAGCGAGTCCCGATTGGCTGAACAAGCCCTTGAAGAAAGAAGTTTCAATTCTTACAATAAAAATATCATTTGATAAACTCGACAAGACCGGGCGTTCTTACAAAGCTTTGCTAGTCCCTATTAAATTGTCCAGCATTGAATTCATTCCTTATCAGAAGATTCGTTTCAGAAGGCGAAGAAGCTGGAGAACTAAAGTGCTCCTCGTCACTTCCGGACATTATTCACGTTATACGATCCTACAGGAGGGCTTGGATGAAGTTCGTTTATGGAGGCGACGCGAAGAAAAGTGGAGAAGAATCCCTGACGCCGGGGGATGGCAGATTGTGAATATTATGTTAAAACCAAAATGTCAGCCAGTCAGTGCGGAAGCGAATTTAGGTTTGTTTTAAATATTTATTATTTATTTCCCTGCTTCCGCTATCCTTAAAGGGTAAGTATGGTTATGGCTATTTCACAAAGATTCACCAACCTTCTTACACGTATAAGATAGACTACACTTCTATCTTATTATTTTCATGTTCTTATTCGTTATCAGCAACATTCCTGCGTCACGTGTCCTTTAGTATCACAGCTTTACACTTATAAATCCTCAGACCTTCCTTTGGTATGATTATAATGTTCACACACCGTCTACCCCGACGCGTCTTTTCAAACCGGCGCTTCATAACAAACTGACTTTAACGGTTCTGGTGGACTGACGAAACCTCGCGGCTTTGAGCCGAATTAAGCCAGAGCTGCGATCCAAACTCCTTAGTTTCATCGACGGATACCGTTCTGCCAGGTCTCCCACAGCATGCAGCAACATCCTGCATCCCCACCATGGACCATTTCCTGAAATATTGTATATAATATTAATTGTCGGATGAAATTTTGATGGAGAATAAAAAAGATTTTCAATAGGATTTAAAATTTTTTAATTGGTCTTATGGGACCATCACTTCCTTTTTTTTATGAATCAATCCTTAAATCCTTACAGTCCTGAGGGAGAGTCGTATTCCCTTATACGAGCTATAAAGATCCTGGTGGTAACTGCGTAGACCGTCCAGGCTCAAGCTGGTAAAGGATGTTCTCCATTTGCACTGCCTCCTGGAGTAAGGGTACTAGTAGGACCCGTGGTCCAATAAACTCCAGGACCTTCAGGAAGAGAAGTACCCTTTCCAAGATGGGTCGTCTCTAAATAATGAGATAAAGTTTGACGCTTCCAAATCCACTTGGCGAAACTGCCCTGGGTCTTCCCCTCTCCTGGCGTTCCCTCGGCGTGGGATAAATAAGTGGTGGAAGTAAAAAAAAAAGCAGTAAAATATTATACACATTCGGTATCACCCTCTTCGTCTGTATCAGCAAATAGAAATCGTTTGTTGATACAGATGCAAATATACAATATGGACGAACGTCATATACAGAATTTGGCTAAAATTCAAAATTTCGACATACGTACATTCCTGTAAGGACGCACAAATCATCTGAGAGATGACTTATAAAAATAATTCCAATCGTTAAGATCGTCACAGTGTGATCGTTATAATTGAAATAAGTATAAAATCGTTCATTCTCGAAATTTACGGATGCCGCAAGTACTGGTTATGAGATCTGAAAAAAGATTTTCTTAATCTACGTAAATTAATATTTTCTCGACGAATAAGTAAATCGATCACATTCATTTCCTTCGTTCAAATTTGTCGATTGACATCTGAGGAACACCCGGTAACCCGAGCCGGTTCCCTGATAGATGGGAATCTCATATGGCCGTACGAACTGATCGATATTTGTTAAAGGTGTCCTAGCGTAATATAGGTATACATAACAGGTATATTTTAAAACTTACAGTACAAAAATTCAAGATCGCCAACGTGGAAAATATAACTATACCATACGTCCACGTAAAAACGTTGATTCACCATAGTCAGTCAGCGTCGAGCCAAAAATCCTACGATCTAGTTCAATTTTTCCCGAGACCTTCCAGAAGGGTGAATATCCGTAGAAAAAGGTTCACGAGAAGGATTCATCCCCCAGGTCCCACCCTCCTTTACATATTTTCACAAAACCCAAGGACCCCCCCCCTTGTTAAGGAATATACGCCTGGCTCGCAGAACGACTTATGAATTACCCCGCGTCGAGGTATCTAGTGAATTTCAAAAATTCCCTAGCAACATCCGATTTAACAGACCCGAGCGCCTTCCAATTAAACTTTCGCACCCTATTTCCGCTATAACTTTGTCGAGCTTTTTGAGCCATGGAATTTCTTTCTTTCTCTCACCCCCTCGACCCACCAACTCCATCAGCATTTTCTCTCGCTCTTCTAATTTTCTCGCCGTACGCCGTTACACCCTATTCCAGAAATTTCCATCATGAAAATTGATCGATTCATGAATCACGTAGGAACGGAAGGAACTCGGTAGGAAATTCCTAGTACAAAGCTGTAGTCGAGGACGTTCGATAAGCCTGGACTTTCCTATTGGAAGCCCTTACACAGATACAGGTATGGAGTAAAAAGTTTGATCCAGTAATCCCATAAGTAAAGCATCCACGACCCGTCGATACCAGCGACAGTCGACGTAAGCTAATGAGAGCGTCGAATTTCAAGAGAGAAAATTTCTACGAAGAGGAAAAAACAATTAATTCTTTATCGTGCTGTCGCAAGTTCGACTTTTTCCAGCGTTTCGAACGCGTCTGCGCGTCGCGACGTGGAACTTGTTGTGTGGATGCCTCAGTCTCGGCTCGCCTGGGCTGTAGGCAACACGGCCGACATAGAAGCTCGCCGAGAAAAGATATAACCTCACGGTATCTCTCGCGCGAGGTGGGCCCCCGGGAAAATCCACATAAACGTCGAATATGTTGTGAATCGTGAATAAGGGAAATAAACGGCAGCCATATTCCTCGTGAAGATCTGCCACGGTGTGTATGAAAGTCTGAAAAGGAAACGAAAGCTAAAAAAGGTCACAAAGAATCGTGGCGGCAGTTTCGTAAGAAAAAAACATCTGAACTAATAAGAAAGACAAACGTATACATACCATATGTATAAATAGGTATATATATCTACACCCATATAATATATATATATCTGTGCATATATCAATACGTGTACAGGACGACTCGAGACTCGAGGACCGCTACCTGCCGTAAATCGATCAGGGTTGCATATACGAAAATAAACACGGTGCAGTGGTGGGGATTAAAGGATATCGTTCGTCGGGTTCCTTGTGTTGATACGTGAAATTAGGTAAAAATAGAAAAATAATGAAATTCCATATGAAGTATAAAAGTAAGTGTTATCTCTTTTTCTAATGTGTTACGCATTCCTGAATCTCGTGTGTCCATCTTGTATCTCTCGATCCTCACTTCGGTCTCTTCCCGCTTCGTCCTCGGCGATATCTCTCGCTTTCTCTCGCTCTCGTTGCTAGCGTGTATTTATTCGTGCTCCTACAAACAAACGTGAACCCGGTAGTATCTGAAAATAACAGCGTGCAAGCGCCATTTTTACGAAATCCCACGAGAGGGAATGTCAGCTGAGATATACAAAATTCAAGTGACGAGTGACGGAGAAGGGAAATGAAAGGGTGACAGAAAGAGTGAGTGAGCGAGGGTGTGTTTGTACGAGAGAGAGAAAGGGAGAGGAAAGTGAGAAAATAAAATAACTCAATTTCAACGATCGCTTTCGTGTCGGTACGCACTTTCAGAAAGAGCTAGTGTTATCGTCCTGAAGCATCTTCACCCGCACCAGATCGATTTGCTTAACGAGACGAGTGCTTTCTATTCATAGACACTAATTTTTTTTTCATATACCTCATGTACAGTTTCATTAAAGTTAACCTAGGAGAGACGAACGATGCGGATTTCTTGAAGAGCATCGAAAAGCAGGGGCATTGTGCTGGCATAGGCGAGAAGGAGAGAAGAGGATAAAGGTACATCCGTACCGAGCCCGTCAGTGTGAACGTGGAATATACCGATACGTTGTAGAGGAGAGATGAAACTAAAAATAAAAAAGTATTATTTTAATTAAATATTGAAAATCCTCGCGAGAGACAAATCTGTGTTCACTTTGAGTAATTCTCGAATGAGCTTCGTTACCGTGAATAACTGTAAGGTTGCCCATTGCGAGGAGTAACGTCGACCAATCTATACGTACCTATACTCGGTTCGTGATAAGTCGAAATAAAATGCTGATTAACGAACCAGATGAGAAATGGGAGCATCGTGGTATAACGATGAACCTGACAACGTCGTTCGTCTGAATGATGTCAATGAGTTTCTCTTTCTTTTGAACGTCATCGATCCGGACAAGGATCAGCATCTACTTCCTGTCTCCGATTAAGCGTGATAACGCGAACGGCCAAACCGATACGGGAAACCTATTTTCTTCCATCGACCTCGTGAAGGAGAGTATCCAGTGGAGAGCAGGTCGGAGCTGAGACAGTCTTGCGAATTTGATCACCACCTAGTGGCGTGTCGACGTACAGCATCCGCGGAAGAGGATCATCCCTAGGGACAGTGTATAGAGTCCTGGATTACCATAGTTATCAACGAAGAAGACGTGCCAAGACTCTGTGCACTATGGGCTGCGAATTAGGAAAACTCGCGTCGTCCTCGTCGCAGAATCAAGGGGGTCGAGAAAGTCCGCCACCCCCGGCTGCGACGGATCCCCGGCTACCCCTCACTGCAAGACAAAAATACACGATAATTGCAAGCTGGAAAGCTGTGGCAAGAGCAATGGAACCTACCGGTGTTTACATGTTCATAAAGTAAGTATCACACCGTATCCTTATCCCACCGGTGCTAATAATCACGGCAGAGGAATTTATACCGGGAATCATCGCTCCCATGTTACGGGGAAAATAATCCGGTAGGATGGTACGGTCCTCGGGGTGGCTTAGTTCCTGGGGATATATACATATATAGATATAGAGTTATTCCCGAAGGAACGGAAGGGCGAAACGGCGTTGAAAAGGATGAAGGAAAATTTCGTGAGATTCGAAACGCAGCGTTTACAGTACATTAGCCTTGCGGACTCATTAAATCTCCCTTCTGGAAAGGCGTCGCGACGCCGGGAGATATACGTGCCACCGGCGTGCGCTCTGACGCGAGGAAAATTATGCGTGTCGCTTTGTCCGGGTAACGAAGCAACCCTTGTAGTTGGTAGGCCTTGCTAAGAGTAAGTCCACCGTAGCCTTTTGTGTCGGTGACCTACTCTGTGATACTACGAGTAGTACTGGTATAGTAATTGTAGTAGTGCTAACTCTATGGCTGAGCATCCCTTGATTAACATCCCCAACGCCATGAAGAGTAGATACAAGATAGAGAAAGGCGTGTACTTTATCCTAAAAGTTGCTTTTGAAACTCAGGGTAGATATAAAGTTTGACTTGGTTTGCCAAATTGCTGAGGGCTCCTACTAACTACCGTAAAGGGTTTGTTATATATCACGGTATCCTTTCTCGGAGGGAAGTAACGTGTACCACCCCTAGCCTGAACTCCCTAGTTCGAGAGACAATCAGTCCGTTCGTGCCATTATGTGATTAGCCCTCGTCCATGCTTTTCGAGGCTCCCGTCGACATCAAACCCACGCCCAGTAAAGGTGACCAGCCCTGTCGCTGTACATCCCTTGCGCCCCTTAGAGTCTTTATCATCCGACACCTCGTCCCTGTTATTCCGGTAAAAGGAGTCTAACTGTCTAAGAAAAGTACCAAGCATTTCATCCAGGACCAACAACACACGCGTCCCACTCCCCTTGCGTATATTAAGATTCCCCTATTTCCAACAATTTTCAGAAAAGGCCAATATCATCCCACCCTATTATCATAAGGGCGAGCCTAACCTTTTCATGAGAAGTCATATATCCCAGAGGGTGACTTGGCAAATGAATAAGGAGGTCTTCCCGTCAGTGTCCTTTCCCTGTCTCATACCGAGGTACGAACTTTTTCATGTTCACGTAAACAACCCTCTGATCAACCCTTGTTAGGCGTCTAAGCATCTAAAAACCACAAGTACCGCACAGTTTTCCCCTGGCTCTACGACGTATTTGAAAAGGCCAAGCCCACCGGGCCCAAAGTACACAGGTCTGGTTTCTAATCAGTCCTGGGATGAACCGCTTTAATCCAAAAGGAACAGCTCGACTTCCGGGGGGGAAGGATGAGCTTCCACATCATCATTGCCATCTTGATTAATTGGATTGTGGCAGCAATTAAAACGAGCCTTCCATGAAGGTGCTCCAATTTCTTTTCTCATTCACAAGGCGAGATCCATCCCTGAGCACTTTCGTCCACAGAACAATGGCTTCCGCGATTGGCGCTGCTCATCGATTGGCCAACTTCAAAGTTCGTTCGCACTGCAATGAAAATTTACTTTTCACTGTATTGTATACGTTAAAAAGAATCATCCTATTATTTCCTCTATACAGTATTCTACGTGCTACCTGTGCACAGTGAAACCTATCAGGCCTGTTTCGTAAAAGCTTCAATCAACTCGAGCGCCTCCATTACACAATGTTAATCCTGCGAGAGAGCAGCATCCCTTTGGAAATGTTTCCTCCTGAACTAAATCCCACGTAGCCACCATCCACCGCGAGGCACCACGTAAATTGCGTTGTAACAGGGGCGGTTTAAATGCCACCCAAGCTTCGATATAAAGCCAGAACGGGGACGTGTACGTACAGCCACCCATGGCAATGATAGGCCCTACTCCAGAGTGTCAGGCATTAAGGTAACTTCATCAAGTGTCCCCCCCGACAAGTTTCACGTACAGGATACTCGTGGACGTCAACGTGAACTCGTGCCGCCTTCTCTCCGTTGGCATCTATGGAAATCAATAAGTTCCAATATATTTATCTGCCTACGATAGTACATACGTACGCACGTAGCATCAACGCCGACTGTCCTACTCGATTACGACATCCTCTTCGTGGACAGGACTCACCCTCCACAGCCATTTCGTCCCCTTTCGGCGCCTTTGTGTCGGCCGCAACGATCCCATGGACCAGCGTTATTTAATCTCGATCCCCTCGGAAATATCCCTGAAATTCTCACCATTACACACTGCTACGTATGTACGTCGACGACGGGAGAAAGGAGAGGAAGAAAAATGAGAGCAAAATAATATACAGTGTATACCTGATCGTAAGTCTTCTGCAGCATCCATTTCTTTTTATACTTGTCAACTGGAAATTGTCTCTTTCCCAGGAGTGTCATTAGGGGATAATACGAGACGGCATGGAATATCCGTTGGAGGTTTGCTTTTCGGCCGTTGTGGTGACACCTTAAAATTAATGCAATTTTGTATCATGTATCTATGGATATATACACATAGTATTTGGATAAAGGTATATAGGCCAGATTTCATACCCTATTCCCAGCTGGGGGATGCCGTGCAGAGAATTGAGTGACAGCTCGTTCGATAGGGTAGCTCGAGTCCAACTAAGTTTTACGGGAATCATGGAGGAGACTTCTATCTGCCAGTACAAACTATATGTAATATGTAGTAGATATATAGGCTATTTAGTATATGGGGTCTGACAGTATGAGACGATTTAATCTAACAGTGAGACCATAGAGATAGGTATTATCCGTGTAATGTCGAGAGAATGGATTTTTAGGAATTTCGAATGTTGGCTAAAGTACCTTGGATAATAGAGGTGTATATATTTTTGTGATCTTATCTCTTTTTTTTATAGATATTTTCTGTACGTGTATAAATAAAATAGAAGTCGGATCGTTGACTGGAGACGTTTCTAGGTTGGAATAAATATCGCGTGCTGATTGATCGTTAGATAGCGTCGAAGGGTGATCTCTTTATTAGGTGACATCTAGCGGGAGGCAACGGAAGTTACGATCTTACCGATAAATAACCCACCCAGCAAATATCCTTGTGGCCACATGTATGCGGGTACGATAGGGTGCAGCCACTGAACGAAATGAAAAGGGGAAAAAGTAAAATGCACGACCCTCGAGTAGTAGCTGAAGTCGCTCTGTCATTTCTTGAGGCCTCTATGTACCGGGTGGTCATCAATAAAATAGTTAATTTCTCGTGTTTCTGGCTAACGTATACTGATTTATCTTCTAAAATGCGACAGACTCAAAATACATTGTCATAAATAACAATGATTATATTATCCGAATAAATAAATCTATTCTAAATGGACACCCTGTGTACGCTCTGGAGCAGCCAAATCGGTGAACGTAGTGAAGTTTCTCACGGTTGAAGCTTTTCATTTGTTAGGTGCCAGTGCAGAGACCCGAGGGATGAAGGAAAAGGAATAAGTTCACAATCTTTGATGAAAGAGGCGAAAGAGAGGATCGTTTTCTGCCGGTTTCCAGGTTACCTATAAATCATTAAGATATCTGTGGGATCATTACTTCCGGGCAGAAAGCTCAGATTGAGCCTTGGCCTCTTTCTGACTATAAAAATTTCCCTAAACGACACAGTCCTTCCCGTCCACTTCCACGCTCCAGTATCCCTTCATCAGGTCCAGTACTTGACTTTGATGTTCCAATTCCAACCTTTCCTTTTCCTAACCTGTCAACAGTTTTCGATTTTGCTGATTCCGTTCTGAAATCTTGCTCTCTTCTCATAAATCCAGTCATCAAGTTATATCTGCAAAATGAAAATATCAATGGTTCTCAGATTGTTCGAGGAAAACGCTGAACTTCTAGATATGTTCACAAAATTCCGTGATCTGAAGACAAAGGAGCAACAAACGATGAGTATGGAGCTTGCGGAACATGCCACCACAGTTATGACTACCCTGGATGAGGGTATAAAGGGCCTGGACGACATGGACGTCTTCCTGACCTACTTGCACCAGGTCGGAGCATCCCATACAAAGATACCAGGGTTCAATAGGTCCTATTTTTGGGTAAGTATCATACACAAAACTGAAAAATCAATATTTCTTTCAATACGAAAACAACGACAGCCTTGATATGAATGTGAATATAAAAAAAGGTTGGTATCGATAGTTCACCCTCGAGAATATTATTCGGCTTTTCATTTCTTTAAGATGATATTTTTCTTGGGCATCTGTACTCGGCATCGGATGTCATCGTCGCGTAAGGCACAAGGCTCCTTTGATTTTCTACCGGCGCGATGGTTTCGCCTTTGCTTTTCCGCTATGACCCTTTGTCTTGAAAACAAAGACTCGCATATAACGCCCACCATCTCTGACAAGTCGTTCCCTGTACCACCCTCGTCTTTACGCACTGCTACGCATTCGTACCATGTAACATTACCCACACTAGGTAATAAGTTAATAGGCACTCTGACACAGTTCAATACCGCTTTCTGATCCAGTTAGACTCCTTTACCATACACAGTATAAATACTAGCTTGGACACCCTATAGAAAATCATTAACTTATTATACACGAATGACAGATAGGAAATTGTATAAATATATTCATATACGTGTAAGGCCATCTCGTCCCAAGTCATTGTGTACTCGAAAAATGATACCTTAGGTGACCCGTAAACGGATGGTTGCCATTTTATATTTTTTCTTTCAGAAAATCGAGGCACCCTTCCTGGAGGCTGTCAAGAGAACCCTGGAGGACAGATACACGGAAAACGTTGAGAATATCTACAAACTCACTATAAAGTTTATCATTGAAACTTTAATAGACGGATTCGACAAGGCACAGAATGACAAGGCCAAGTCCTAGTTTTCTCCCACAGGGTGAACGAGCTACGGCTGCGAATTAGCGAGGGTGGCTTGTTTCGCCTGGTGAAAAGCGTCGGAGGGTTGCTCGGCCCTCGAGTGAAGTCGATAACTCTCGACCTTCCTGGTGTATTAATCCATGCTGCAGCAGGTGTCGAGCAGGATCCTCCGAGCGATGCCAGGTTTATTATCGCCTCGTTTATTGTATATTTTATAATTGTCACAGGAAGTCTGACATCTTCCTTATGCAAGCATAAACCATCCTCAGGAACAAAGGATTGAGAAAGGGCATAGGATGAATCCTGAAAGCGTCCTAAGACCTACGACACTTGAGAATTGGTTCCTTCCTTCCTTTCCTTATGGCTGACTCCTCCAATGAGGAGATGTGCCAGTTGAGAATTGGTTAAAAATGTCAAACTCAAAACAAGAACACAGAATAAAATGGGAAAGGAGAAGAGATCAGTGACTCGAACGTGTTTCAATATAAGATCCGTCGGGAGCGCCACTTTCGCCATGGCTTAACAAGATACGCCACGAAACGACTAGGTGGCGCTAGTGGAGACAACAGTGTGCGCTGATACTCGGGTTATACCCAACATTTTTATATTGAAAAGAACATGCGAAAGATCATTCTCGCTCAAGAAGGATCGACCGGGATCCAGGGTGATCGTGGTACTGATCACGAATCGTTTTCACGATCGTCTCGTTCCACCATGCGACGGTTTATTTTTTTACGAGTTTCATTCTAAAAGCCGCTTTTTATAACAGCCCGTGCTAAACCGGCGCACGAGCCCTGACTATACTTCGAGCCCGGCCACTCCAGGTGTCTCTGGCTTCGCCATATCGTCCTTCGTGTTTATCGAACGAACAACACCGGTACCTATCTACCAACCAACCTAGTACGTATTTCAAAAGTAACGCGTACGTGGATAACGATCGTACGTTCATCCATAAAAAAGAAGTCGAAACACGCCATGAAAGTTATCGTAATTTTTCATGATATAACGACAAAGAGGTAACGCTATGTTAAACGATCATCGTCATCGCAAGAGTCACTTTGAAAAAAGCCCACCCGATATTTTTACTCGTTATAAAACGCGAATGGATATACTTTAGGAGTGTCCCTCTTCACATGTCAATTTCCTAGGAAGTCTTTAAGCTACGATGCGAGCATCCCTTTGAGATTATTAAATAAAAATTACCAAGGGATGCTTTTAAGGGATTAAGAAATAAGAAAAAGCAAAAGATACTTGGCCATGACATGGACCAGAGTACTTGTAGTGTATTAATTCTCGTACACGGAAATATTTCGTGTTCGCACAGAACGTGTGTCAGGGATACTCGACACTGGTGATAACAACACAGCCGGTGTGAGAGCACCCTTACAGAAATTGAGAACGAGAGATGTTGATTGTTACTTAGACAAGGAATGGACGCGTTGACAAATTCGTCTTTCAATACTGGGAATCAAAGAAAGAGAAAGAAAAATAAAAGCTAAAAGCTCCGTCTCCTCGTCGAACGTCGTTATCGACAAGGTAGAAAGTTTTTTTTTCTTGTCTCTTTTATTATCTTTCTCATTCAATTCCCTCTACCAAGACGCAAACGCGTCTATAATAAATGTTGCATGAAATGAATATTAAACGTCTCGGATAAAGCTATCGCAACGCGGAAAGAGCCGATTCCCAATTTCTAAAATCAATTCTTTTTTTCAAATCCAAAACGTGGCAAACGTGCCACATCAATAGAGTCGCAAAGTGGAGAAAAATAAATCCCAAATATTAAGTCATCTGCACTCCCTTTGATAATCGCACAATGTGTCGGGAAAGTCAAAGCGCCGTCATTAACGGCCATTTTCGCATTGCGATTTTTGGCTTTAAAAGGAATTTCATACGAAATGCACAAACGACCTGTACCTTCTACTCTCCGACAAACGGATCTATTTAACCGAAAGTCTTCAAGAAAACAAAATAGCAGATATATATATATACACATACATACACACACACATATATATATATATTGATTGCTAGTGTAACTTGCAGTTATGCGAATGTTGCATTATCTGTTTGTTTGTTCTATACAGGTCCAAATGTATTATTGTATCTGATGGAATATTATATAACGAAAATATATAATATATTTAAACATAACCTCGTCCTCTGCTCCTGTTCGGATACTTCACTTTTTTCCATTCGTATCTCCCCTTTCGCCATCTTGTACCAACCACTTAGCCCACCTTGCTTATTAATAATAATTTAATATCTCAAGTCTCTAATTCATACTAGAACCTTCAGAACCCAAAAGGGATTCTTTTAGGTCAAGCACCTCTGACGCCAGTAACATGAGGGGTGTTCAACAATGCTCGTAATAAGCTCGCATGTAATACCAATAAGCTCGACTATAATATGGGACACCCTGTATATATATCTCGTAGACGAGCACTCGCTGGATTATACCGTAACATTGCAGGCTATAACGAGCATTGCATAACAACCCTAAAAGCTATCTTAGGATGTATTCGAAAACTGACTATGAGTCTGACGAACATGAGTCTGTCATGTATCTAATAAAGATGCAAGGATGTTCCTTAGCTCTTGCAGTAAGTCTTGAAACAGCTACTAAAATGATGCTGGACTCCATTGGGGAAAACATCTGCAGATTTTTTCTTTCTCGCTTCACTAAGTTCCAAGGCAAAGGAAAATTACCGGGCGTGTAATAATTCGTCAAAAGATGCCCTTGTTTCTTGAGGTCTTATATATTAATGTAAATATATACATGGAAAATAAGTTATTGGTCATTCACTCGTGATAGGAATATATATATATATATA